ACTCTCCCACTTTTTGCAGATACAGTGAAGGATGAATCATCTGTTTTCCACATCTCGGTTCATTAGTCCCTGTGATATTATACCACTCTCAAATGGTCATTAATTCAGCCCAACTATAATATCCCTCCCTGTGTGGTTTACAGCATACTGGTTTTGCTGACACAGTCTGATCATGTCCTACACTGCCATTCTCAATCAGGAACAGCTGCTCTTCTGCCTTTCTTTACATTTCGCACTAATGCACGAACGTCAGTCACTGAATATGTGCTTTTGACCACAAATTCCAACCCTGTTTACTGATGTCTTTTCCGTTTATAGAAACACAGACGTCACTTTAGTCATTATTCCTATTGAAATGCAAGCCAGCTGATCAATATTTGTGACTGAAGCTCCTGCCATCCATGCCCCCTTTAAGAGCAGTAGTACATTTCTCCAGTAGCATGAGGAAAGCAGCCAGAGAGTCGTCTGATGATATGGGAACTTTTTATTCTGAAGAAGGGTCTGGGAGGCTTCTGAAAGCCTCGTTTAACACCAAAGATGGTTCGTCCACCCCACACACAAATTGTTCGCCTTGCTGCAGGACATCATCATCATCTACTTGGCAAAGCATGTCAGCAAAGCCTGTAGGGAAAATGTTACTCTGTTAGAGTATTATAACTATTTATCATGTGAGAAACATGAGAAATACCAGGTGGTGGTGAAATAAACAGCACATCTGACTTACCAAACGGACCTGGAACACTGCGTTGCTGGTTAAAGTTGTGTGCGCTCCATATCGTCTGCTCCAGAACCAGTTCTTTTTGGAGCAAAGGAAAGTGGGCGCACTCCAACAGTTTCTGTAGAGCAAAATGAAATCAGAACCAAAAATCACTCAATTCCTTGTTTTTCTAAAAGCATTAACTTACATGTGTACAGGATTGTCATACATATAAAATAGTGCAGCCTTGCAAATCCCACACCCCAACATTCCCACAAACTGTAAATAGAAAAAGAATAAATGGCCAAAATAACTTCACTAATGCCTGAGTAAGTCTTTGTCCTTTTTTGAGAGGGAATAAGTTTTTCTATTTCATGTTGTTGAGTCAGCTATTATGCACAGAATCACACAAATACATAGCATTTTGCTCCCGGACAGCATCGCAGAAGTACCTGGAGATAAACCTTTGCTTCCAGTTAGAAGTGACAGCCTTATGATACATAATAGACACATCATCGATACAATATAACACAGCAATATCACAAATTCACAGTATTATTATATATTATCTGTCTAAAAAAGGCTGTTTGATCTGACATTGTTCGGTCTGATACCTTTTTGTCCGATGACGTTTCGTCTGATGTTTAATTCCATGAGATTTGAAACATGACGAAGGTTTTCCAGAGACTCTAAGTGGTTTGGTCCGAGGAACGATGCTGTTCTGTCCGAGGCCTGAGTGCTGACGCTGAGGTCTGAGGATGTCCTAAAATGTGCACCGTAGCTGATGCACTTTCAAAGGCGTTTTGCCACAGAATGAGCGCAGTAGGTGAGAATCTGTGACTGCAGAGCAGAGAGGAGCTGTTTCCCTTTTACATTTCAATTTTAACATCTTTCTATCTTGGTGTTTTCTTTAATAATGCAATTCCAAAAAATGTTCTTAGAGAGTGCAAATGCATAGAAGTTAAAGTACATATTAATTGAATTATTGAATTTTCATTTTGAGCCCAAAATTGCATGTGGAAAATTTGAAATCCAAATTTAGGATGACATTCCCTTTTGATGCCGATATGTTTCCATTAAACACATTCTGGTTCTTTCACTTGAGTTTTTTAGCAGCACAGAAATTTTCTCCAGAAGCTCTTCCTTTCTGTGGTCTTTTCTTTTGTTGTTTTCTTCTTCTTCTCCTCCTCTTTCTTTTTCTCCTCCTCCTTCTTCTTCTGCTTTCTGAGTTCTTCACTCTGCCTTTTCTGCAGTTTTCTCCGTTCTTTCTTTTCCTTCCTGGTCAGCTTGCTGTTGCTCTGGCACTGGCACGCTTTATTCAGCTCCGACGTGGACGGTGAAGTGATGACCAGTATAACCGGGCCTTCCCGTCTCTCTCCGTCCTGCTCGTGTGACGTTTCTCCCGGCATCTGATCTGTACCTTCCAGTCCTGCCATGTATCGTCTCATCTCTATGTCTTCATCCCACCTTTCCATTCTCCTGTCCACCTCTCGCGCTTTTCTCAGTGCCTGAAGAGCGTTCCTCATCTTTCCCATCAGACCACGTTTCTCTGTTTTTGGGCTCTTTACATCTGTCTCTTCCTTCTGTGTCCCCTCAAAACTCCTTGCTTCTTTTTCTCTCTTCTGTTCTTCCTCTCTTTTCTCTTCCTCCTCTCTCCTCTGTTCTTCCTCTCTTTTCCCTTCTTCCTCTCTTTTCTCTTCTTCCTCTCTTCTCTGCTCTTCCTCTCTTTTCTGCTTTTCCTCTCTTTTCTCTTCTTCCTCTCTTTTCTGCTCTTCCTCTCTGCTCGGTTCTTCCTCTCTTTTCACTTCTTTCTTTCTCCTCTGTTCTTCCTCTCTTTTCTCTTCTTCCTCTCTTTTCTCTTCTTCCTCTCTCCTCTGCTCTTCCTCTCTCCTTTGTTCTTCCTCTCTTTTCTCTTCTCCCTCTCTCCTCTGCTCTTCCTCTCTCCTTTGTTCTTCCTCTCTTTTCTCTTCTCCCTCTCTCCTCTGCTCTTCCTCTCTCCTTTGTTCTTCCTCTCTTTTCTCTTCTCCCTCTCTCCTCTGCTCTTCCTCTCTTTTCTCTTCTTCCTCTCTCCTCTGTTCTTCCTTTCTCTTCTCCACTGTGCTCTTTCTCAGTGTTTCCAGCTCCTTGTTCTTCTTTTTAATCTCTTTTTCCATTTTCACAATCTGTGAAATCAGGCGTTTCTCCCACTGGATCTGCAATGCGTTTTCCATCTTTTGAACTTTTTCCGTCTGTGCTGTGATTTGTCCCAAAAGCTGCTTTTCTCGTTCTTTCAGGTGTCTCACTTTCTCTCGGGCCTCCTCCAGTTCTCGGTGTATTTCATCAGACCCAAAGTTCTCTGTTTCTTCCTCTCTCCTCTGCTCTTCTTCTCTTTTCTCCTCTTCCTTTCTCCTCTGTTCTTCCTCTCTCTTCTCCACTGTGATCATTCTCAGCATTTCCAGCTCTTTGTTCTTCTTTTTTATCTCTTTTTTCATTTCCATGTTCTCTGAAAGCAGGTGTTTCTCCCAGCGGATCTGCAGTGCATTTTCCATCTTTTCCGCTTTTTCTCTTTTTCCTTTGATTTGTCCCAAAAGCTGCTTTTCCCGTTCTTTAAGGTGTCTCAGTTTCTCCCGGGCCTCCTCCAGTTCTCTGTGTGTTTCATCAAACCTTACGCTCTCCATTATTTCCCAGTTTGGACACTGAAAACACCGCAAAGACAGACGCAGTAAGTTCCTAAATGAAGTCGCTCTCTACAGCAGGTGCTGCTCTAAAGACGTAACAAAGTTACTTCAGCCACGAGAATTTGACTGAGAGGAACCTTTTACACTCACTCAACACAACAGTTACTCAAGTTCGCTGCTGTAATAGTGGAATTTTGAGCTTCTGCAGCCTATTTAGGGCTTCACTGATGACGTCACATATCGGCAGGTTGGTCTGTCTGACATTGCAGTCCTTTTTGGAGTTGGTGAGAGAGTAATCAACTCTTCTCCTCCAGGTCTTGATTGCTAAGCCTGAACGTGAGAAACACGCCCCCTCATGATCATATGAACGAAAAAATACAGAAATAAATAACTGAATTATTGAAATATTGAAAAAAAATTAAAAAATAAAGTGAACAATTGTTAAAAATACAGATACAGATAAATATATAAAAATGAACATAGGCATTAATAAAAAAAACACAAATCAATAAATTGAGAAATATATAACTGCATAAAAAGGAAATATATGCATCATTACAATCAAAATAAGCAATATATACTTTATTTAGTTATTTTTATTTATTGATTAATTTACTGAGACATTTATTTTTTTGTTTCATTTATTTCTCTGTCCCCTCAACAATAAAACATGCTAAACCTTGAAACTGTCACAATTTCATACACATACTGGTTCCACATGTCTACAGACAGCAGATCGAACATTTCATTAGCTTCTGTAAATGTGGATGGTCTAGGAATGTTCTTTATTTTAATGAACCCACTTTAAAAGTCACTTAGATATTTTATCCAGCCCTAAATTGAGGTCAACTAGGCCTGCTTAGCATTTTATACATGCAACAAGGCATGGTGGAATGTTAGTATCTTAATTGTATAATGCAGTACAGCTGACTGGAAGCATCTACACCTGTTATGTTTCATCAACCAATTTATTTAAGTTTTAATCTGTCAGTCGTCTGTATATTAGTATATACAGTTGATTTAATTTTGTATTTAAATCATTTTTATAAAGGTACTTGGTGATGGTACTGAGGACACAATTGATAAATAAACTGTTTGAATTGAGTGGGGGCTGTGGTGGTGTCTGACCTCTCATGGGGCAAAGCGATGCCACGGCATATGCCAACAAACATATTTTTATCAGCAAAGAGTTTCTATTTGCGGTTGTTCCAGATCATGTGATGGGTAATGTTCACACGTTTTTTAAGTAAAAACCAACACCTGACCCGAATTTTACCCGTTTTGTCCGGCAAAGTAAATTGTAATTTGTTATTTCGTTTTAGCTTTTCAGTGAGTCAGATCAGTTGACTCTGATCATGAAAAAGAGCGACTGTTTCGGTTCCCAAACGCTTCTTCATTCAGTGGCATTGACACATTTCTTAATTTCAAAATTAGCCAAGCCAGTGACATTTTGTTTAAAAACGTCTTTTGAAAGCAAAGAATTTCCTCTTAGGCTGTGTGATGGGTAATGTTCACACTAGCCTATATGGGTTTTGTGAGCAACAAACAGCAGCTTGGGACCAGAACTTTACCGGTTCATTTTTACACTATTCTCAACTGTGCAACACAGTTTCTGAGTGTATCACATTCGGTATCAGCTAACTCTTCACAAACTGGGTGTTTTTTGAGTTGAAATATGAGGTGAAAAAGTCTGTAATATTAGCTGATGCAGACCATTAGCATGTCTCTGTTTATCTTAAAGACTTTACTGTCTTTCTCAGTGTAAATGTCAAGCTATGTGCAACATCTCATGTGCAATACGTATAAACATATCTTTATAGAATATCTTTTAAACTATAATGTTTATTCTGTGAGGGATAGTTGTTTATATATTTTATATTTTTTATCTTTAGTATTTTATATTGTCTATAAAGTAACAAACTGTAACGTTATTAAGTGATTAATAAGGTTAAGGTTGTTTGTTAATTCTCGTTACTTCTTTTCTTGAGTGTGTTGCTATCCCTTTGCTGCTGTAGCACTATGAATTTCCCCACTGTGGGACTAATAAAGGATTATCTTATCTTATCTTAAGCCATATATCCTCTGATAGGGCTTTCTGTGGGCTCATTCTAGCTTTCATATAATGCAATAATGTCAAAATAATGAGAAAGCAAACAGTGCTAGGAGTTAAATATGTACCTTCATTAAAAACAACAGTTTAGACATTTTGGGGGGCTGAAGAAGGTCTATGGCAAGTCTAATATGTGACAGCTTTGAGTGTAAAAAAAATATTTTTATTGATTCAGATGTGAAGTTTAAAGACCACTGCCTAGCAATACTTGTGAAAAAATGACTTCTAAAATGTGTGATTTTTTTTTTTTACACCTAAATGTAGACAAAGAAAACCAAAGTAAACAAATAAGACCACCCTAGTTTATTTAAAGAACAGGGATCTATCACAGTCTGATCTTCACAACACATGTTTGTGGAAGTGTATCATGGCATGAATAAAGGAGATTTCTGAGAACCTCAGAAGAAGAGCTGTTGATGCTCTTCAGGCTGGAAAAGTTTACAACACCTTCTCCTCAGGAGTGGTCGACCAACAAAGATCACGCCAAGAGCAAGATGTGTAATAGTCCGAAATGTCAAAGAGGAACCCAGGGTAACTTCAAAGTAACTGAAGGCCTGTCTCACAGTGGCTAATGTTAATGTTCATGAGTCCACCATCGGGAGAACACTAAACAACAATGGTGTGCATGGCAGGGTTGCAATGAGAAAGCCACTGACCTCCAAAAAGAACATTGCCACCCATCTGCAGTTTGCTAAAGACCACATGTACAAGCCAGAGGGCTACTGGAACAGTGTTTTGTGGACGGATGAGACCAAAATAGATCTTTTTGGTTTAAATGAGAAGCGTTATGTTTGGAGAAAGGAAAACACTGCATTCCAGCACAAAAACCTTATCCCATCTGTGAAACATGGTGGTGGTAGTATCATGGTTTGGGCCTGTTTTGCTGCATCTGGGCCAGGACAGCTTGCCATCATTGATGGAAAAATGTATTATACCAGCAAATTCTAGAGGAAAATGTCAGGACATCTTTCTGTGAGTGGAACCTCAAGAGAATGCGGGTCATGCAGCAAGACAACGACCCTAAGCACACAAGTGGTTCTACCAAAGAATGGTTAAAAACGAGTAAATGAGGAACACTCAGAAGGGAAGCCTATCCTCCTCTGGGTGACACTGGAGAATGCAGTTTGAATACAAGCGAAACTTTATGTGAGATCTCCCACCACTAAACTGTCTTTGGTGGCTTGTAAAACCACATTGTGTAGAATTTATAGCAGTGGTGTGGCGAGGGCGCACGTATCCACAGAATACTCACTTCCTCACATCCACATTCAGGTGTTCATTGAACACAGTGCTGCCGATGGTGCACAACTGGCATTACCCAAAACACCCAAACCAGTGCCTCTGCACTGCGACATGTCACTGCCATCTTGTGGACGTAAATGACAGTACATTTTCACCATTTTTGTCTTGAGTTTTGTCAATTATAGGAGTTATAATTATAGGTTATTATATATATATATATGACTGGTGGGCCATGCATCAGCAATGGTCCCTCTGGAACATCTCCATTTATTTAAAGAAATGAAAAAGCAAGAGCCACAGTTTGGACAGTTCTACTGTGGACCTGTCCTACCTCGGCTGCAGATTTAGGAAGATTTAGGAATGCAGCTTTTGGGTTTTTGTAGTGACTTGAAAAAATATATATATTTTGTAGATAAAAGATTTTATTCATGATAAGTCTAAATGTTTCAGCTTCTTTAAAAAGAAAAAAAACAAAACAAAAAAAACAAACAAAAAAAAAAAAATATATATATATATATATATATATTATTTTTTATTTTTATTTTTATTTTTTTTTCCACAAGTAAAAATTTAGGGGTTAGGGTTTGGGACAGACACCTCCCAATAGAAAGTACTTTATAAATGACGGTTTTGTATATGTTTTATCTTATTTCTGTTTACGTTAATCCCTTTGATATAATGCTAACATAGTAATAACTTGTTTTTACTGTGGGACCACAGCTTGACCAAATTTGGTAGAGTGGGTCCTTATATGACCATGTAGTGAAATTTGTTCGGCCTTATTTACTGAGACACCCTGACTCTCACTCAATAAAAGCAAGATTTAGTTATAAAATAATGCATTGTGAAAAAAAGGCCCAAAATCTAATGGTGTTGATCTGATCAGAGTCCAGATTTAATCCCCATAGAACATATTTGGTCTCAAATTAAACAGCCCTGCAATGTTTTTCAGCTGTTTAAAGCCACCAATGATGAAAAATACTGACTCATTTTATAAAAGGTTGTCTGCAATGGTTTGTTATTAAGACCTTTTAAAAGCTTCATGTTTTGTCATTTTGGGTTTGGCCCACACTTTATGAAGCTAATTTGGTAACTGCATCTGGTTTTCTGAACTATTACATAGCATTTTTCATTTTTTTTAGACTTCAGTACTTTTCAGAGAACACAAACATGTAACAGACATAGTGGACATTTTGCGGGACTAAAATATAGTTGTAATGCAAGAAAAGTAAGGATGTAATAGTGAGAATGTAGGATGTAATAGTGAGGATGTAATAGTGAGGATGTATGAACTCTCCACACTGAGTGAAACTCACTGCACATCTTAATAAAAGAGTTAATACAACTTAAATACTACAGAAAGTTTGAGTAACTTAATCTGAAATATTCAAATTCAAACTCAAAAATGAAGTAACTTCATTTAAATGTATTATATTCACTATTTTTATTTAACTTGACTTGACATGCAAATACAAACAGGCCAATAATGGGTTGTTTTTAAAGACTTGAAAATTTAGTGTAGCTTAATGTGACAGACAGCATAAATGTTTACATTTAAATGATTTGGATTTAAATGATTTTTGCTTTTTTCATAACTTTATTTTGATGATTTCAGACTCAGATCCCATCAAACGGGATCTTTGAGTCGAATAAACTTATTTTAGTTTAG